TAAAAGGGAGAAAGCAAGCTGCCAGGCCCAGGACTTGAGAGCCACAGTCGCCATGTGGGAGTCCTGCACCATTAACCACCATGCCACCTGCCAGCCCCCAAGTTGCATGGTTTAAATCCAGACCTGGTAGCTTGAAAAACACGCCAAGAGGATCAGCAGATGGCATAATGGTTGCATTGCTCAACTCATATATAGTCCATTGCAGTTGGAAACCCAGACCCGGCAGCTTAAAACTCAACACTGGTTGGGACCATCAGATGACGTTAAGGTTACATTGTTGGACTCCCACATAGTCGACCACAGTTCTGGTCGGACCTGATGACCTAAAACTCACGCCAAGCCCTGTGCGCATGCATGCCCAAAATCCTGAGAGGAGAATGGAAGAAAAGGGATTGTGCCATGACCATTGCCTCCCGGAGGATGATTTCTCTCTCTCTGGCAAGCACACATGCCCTATAGCAAAAAAAAAAAAAAAAAAACCTCTCTTAAAAACAAAACAAAACAAAACAAAAACCACCGGTCATGGGTGCACATGCATGCCCAAAATCCTAGGAAGAGAAGGGATTACAGCGTGCCCATCCTCCTTGGGAGGTGATTTCTTGCTTTCTGTGTCTCTGGGAGCTCACACACCCTATAACAAAAATCTCTCTTAAAAAAAGAAAGAAAGAGGGAACCAGCAGTTAGCGTAATGACTATGTCGCTGGACTCCCACATAGTCGACCGCGGTTCGCATCCCGGACCCGGTGGCTTAAAACTCACACCGGGCGCGTGTGCGTGCGAGCCCAAGATCCCAAGAGGAGAATGGAGGAGAAGGGATTGTGGCATGACCATCCCCCCTGGGGGGTGATTTCTCGCTTTCTGTCTCTATGTCTCTCTCTGTCTGGCAAGCGCACGCGCCTTATAGCGAAAATCTCTCCAAAAAAAAAAAGAAAGAAAAACATGTCAGGCACATGTGCGTGTGTACCCAAAAATCCTTAAGAGGAGTGTGGAAAAGAAGGGATTGCAGCATGGTCATCCCACGGGTGGTGCTTTCCCTCTCTCTCTTTCTCTCTGTCTCTGGCAAATACATACACTCTATAGCAAATTTAAAAAAAAAAAGTTTTAACATCTTTTGGAACTAAGTGATAGGATTTATTTTATCTATATCGTTTGCATTTTTTTCCAATGAGAATGGATTATTGTGCAAATAAAATGAAGAATCCCTGCTACCATTAATTAATAATTTATATTATTAATATAATATATTATAGGGGATAGTAGGGGAGGCCCTGGAATACAAATCTGTGACCCTGCACCCTGCTTCTACCTCAGCAAACCCTGTTCTGCTCATCAGTCTTTTCCTGCCTTCTCTTTCTCAGTCTTAGGAAAAGTCCTCAGTGCTGTGGGCAGTGCCCAGCTACTGATGTCCCAGAAATTCCAGCAGTTCCGGGGACTCTGTGAGCAAAACTTGGTGAGTTTGATTTTTTTTTCCCTCCATAGTAGCTGCCCAACAGGTACCTCAGCTGAACTGGGCCTGCTTGCAGCCAGCTCCTCTGTGTCCTCCATAACACAGAGAAGGTGTTGCTTCCTCGTGGCATTGGAGAAAGGGACAGCATGTGTGTCAGGACCCAGCACAAGGAAGGGGCCAGGAGTGGTCTCCTCAGGTTTGATCCTTTGAATAAAACATTGAACTCTACACAGTAACAGTGACATGAAAGTTAAGTCAGTCAGCCTTGGTCTAAGTATATGAAATACATCCTGTATCTAGAAAGACACTTGGTTAAGAACTAAAGAAATAACCATTGCTGTGCGGCATGTTGGGCTTCATTTCCCTTCTTCCCACTTGTGAGGGGACTTGCCCCACAGGGCCAGAAGCAGATTCTGGCAGCTTTTCCTGCGAGAATCTCTCTCCACCTAGCCAGGAGCTGTGGAGAATGTCGGTTTCTAGTACCTGATAGTAATGAGATTTGGGGGTTCGGTTGCCATAGAATTATATGATGGGAGGGAACTGATAACAGAGCCATTGATCATTCCCACCTAAGAATGCATTGTGCTGTTGCTTGCCTCACCGTGAGACCAGGGCCCAGACCAGGGCCCAGACATATCCTCCCTATAATAGAATGTGTTAATGACATGAGTGCCTTCCTTATCATAGCCCGACAGCAATGGCCTCAGTCCATGTGTTCTCCTGAGAGTCCTGTTTCTGTGATGAGATTATCCCCCTCCCAAAGATCCCTCCACTACAGTGGGCACTAACCAGGAACTGGTTTCTTTCACTCATACAGTTACTGACTTGGATTCTGGGAACAAGGGAATGGGATAAGACCCTAGGATCCTCCCCACCCAGTGTTCACACAGCCAGGGGGACCATGCTTGGGGTGGGAGAAGGTCTCTGTCTTGCTGGCCCCTCTGATCCCCGTCTGCCCCACAGAACCCTGACGCCAACCCACGTCCAACAGCCCAGGACCTGGCAGGGTTCTGGGACCTGCTACAGCTGTCCATCGAGGACATCAGCATGAAGTTTGATGAACTCTACCACCTCAAGGCCAACAGCTGGCAGCTGGTGGAGACCCCCGAGAAGAGGAAGGTGAGCATGGAGCAGTGCGGAGGGGAAGTCCAGGGACAAATTCCTGGTCGGCAATAACGCTGCCCACATCGGTCAGTGCTGCTTGGCTCCCTTCTCCGTGTGTCGTCTTTGAGCGGGGGGCTCACGTCCATCACCGCGTGGGGTCCATGCTTGGCTCTCGTCCAGCTTGCCGCTTGCCCTGTGTAGGAGAGCTGCCCCTGAAGCATGCCATCCTGCCCTGCATGTTCAGAGAAGGGGATTTCTGGGAAAGCACACCCACAGCCTCAGCACCAGGGGAGCCTTGGCCATGGACCTTTGCAGGGAGCATAATGGTCCTCCCCCCTGAGGCTATGCCATTGGTATTGGCGCCTGGACCCAGTGACCCCTGTTGGTTATTAGACTATTACACATCCCTAGAATAGCATGTGAACTGAGACCTGGGAGTTGGAAGCCCCCCATTTAACTCCCGTCTCTGCCTGTATGTCTCGGGCTAGTTCATGCCTGAGTCTCAGATCCCCAGTGGTTCAGAGTGGGGTAAGAACAGGTGATCTGTCGCTTCTTTCCCGCTAGAACATTCTCAGTCTAAGCTTGCTTTTTGCTCCTATGCCTTGTGCTATTCCCACTATCATCGCTTCTGTGGCTTCCTGATTCCAAATGTGTGTTGCTTGTGCCCAGTGCGGGGAGGCTGGGGTGGAGCGGCTCCAGCTGCCAGCACCTTGTGGGGGTTGTGTCACCCAAAACGTGGCACCTTTATTTTATTTTTCTTCCCTCCTCACTGTCTCACTGAAGGAAGAGAAGAAACCACCCCCTCCAGTCCCAAAGAAGCCAGCCAAATCAAAGCCGGCTGTGAGCCGTGACAAGGCCTCGGACCCCGCTGGGGATAAGCAGCGTCAGGAGGCCCGCAAGAGACTCCTGGCCGCCAAGCGGGCAGCTTCTGTGCGGCAGAACTCGGCCACAGAGAGTGCGGACAGCATTGAGATTTATGTCCCCGAGGCACAGACCAGGCTCTGAGACCACGGAGGAGGAAGACCACTTGAGATGATTAAAAGAACACGCACAGAAACTAAACACCAGTGGAATAAAATTTTCTCAACCTTTAGTATGGTTATCTGTCTAGAGACCCTGAGCCAACTTTCAAATTGATGCATACAAGGGCTCACAATTTGGCTTTTTTGGGTCCCTCCCAGCTTTAGGTTTTGAAGACATCACACACACAAAAAATCAACAGAAAACACAAAACTAGAAACTTTTTTTCCCTCTTGCTGGCCGTGGCGGACTAGAGATGGACATCGGCAACTCCCCGGCCCAGCCTCCAGACTGCAATCTTTTTACTGTTCTATCTGACGAGAACCTACACTGGCTTGTTTACAAGACGACAACAGTCCAAGGGCAGCCTTGGGCACCTGCCATGTCCTTCCTCCTTCTCCCTACTCCTCCTGCTCTGACCTCGGAGTTTTCATTCTTAAGTTTTTCTCTTTTCCCTTCAGAGCTCACAAAGGGGTCACCATCATGGCTGGCGGCTTTCTGGTTCTCAGCTCTTTTTGCGGTTGAGGGACCAGAGGACAGAGAGATGGCCATGTGTCCCCTTCTTCCCCTGCCAAGTGCTCACACAGTCTTGCACGCGTGCCCACACACACACACACACACACACACACACACAGATGGAGATTCCTGTCACAGGAGCAGCCCTGCCACTGCACCCAGCCAGCCCTGGGCAGTGTCAGGCAGGACTTGCCTCTGAGCAGATGAGGAGGTGTTAGTCTCGGGGAAGAGGGGACGAGCTGAAGCCACAGTTACCACACTCGAGGCACCTGCCTCTTTCTTCTCTCCAGCCCTGTCTTCCTTCAGCAAAAGAAAATGTAGGAATCAGAGTGGCTTCTAGGGGGCACCTAGGGGAGGGACCCCGTTTTCCAAGGGGTTGACTGTCCTCGGCCGCACCTGTGTACAGTCCCCAAGGGGCGGGCGGTGGTGTCTGTACGTATGTGTACATATGCACATAGACCTTAGAGTGTATATTAACAACGCCCATCTGCTCACCCATGCCCACCAGCGCCGCCGCTGCTGGCTCTCAGGGCACCTGGCAGGAGGCGGGTGTGTGAATAGCATATATTTTTACATGTACTATATCTAGGTGTGTGTACAAGTGTGTGTAAAAATATATACCTTGTGTGTAAGCAGCCCTTTTTTTTGATCTCCCACCCTGCCCTGCCTCTGAGTTTTCTGTTCTGTTATATAATTTTTTACCCCCGTCATCCTTCTCTCTCCTCTGCCCCTGTCCCCACTCCCAGGGTGTCATGAGCCCTGAGCCTCAGTGGCCCAGGCCTGCAGGACGGGTAGGGGAGGCAGGCTAGGGCAGGCCGCCTGGGCGGGGGCCAAGCCCAGCAGTGAGCTCAGTACTCCAGGGGCTGCTCTATACTGTGTATACGACTCTATGGCAATGGAGACATCCTCTTGTCTGGCACTTGCTGCAGGGGGCCCCCCAGGTGAACCAAGGGCCTGCTCTGGGGCCCCATTCCAGCTTGGCCACTGTCTGTGACCTTGGGCAAGTCACTTGACCTCTGTGTGCCTCAACTTCCTCCTCTGTAAAATGGGGACAGTCCCTGCCCCTCCCTACCTCACAGGCATGTTGTGAGAATAAATGAGGTAACGTGTACCAAGGGCTCATGGTGTTATTGCAGTGGGCTGGGCCAGGGTGGAGTGGACGCCTGAGGGAACCAAGCCAGACCCTTCCCAAGGCAGCTCTTTGAAGACAGGCTCAACGGAGTGTGAAGAGGAAAGCCAGCTCAGTCACGTGCCGACTCTGATCCCGGGCCAGGAAATCAAACTCACTGCCGCTGCTTCTGGAAAACGAGTATGTGATGTTCACCTCACCAGCTTCCTGTAAGGAGGAGACGCCTGAGAAGTAGGTGCTGTCATGGAAGCCAGGAGGGGCTGGCAGGCCAGGCCACCCACAGCCAGGCTCCCGCTGCTCCCACCCTCCGGGCTGTGTGCGCAGAGTGCCCTGCCCCAGCACCCGCTCCCTGGCCCGGTGCTGGCCGCAGGGCTGGGGCAGCTGTACACACAGCTCCTCTGGTGGGGACAGATCTTGGACATCGTACCAAGTGTTCAGGTCTAGGGCAGGCGGTAGGAAACAATGCAGCAGGATGACATGTAGGACCTCCACCAAACCCGGTCTGGGCAGGAGCAGGAGCTTTCAGTCGAGACCAGGACCAGCTGATCTTAGCCCATGGGGACTAGGAGTGGCTTGTGGTGTGGTAGCCAGGGAGTGTGCACCCCAAGCAGAAGGAACAGTAGGTACCAATACATTGCCCCTTCCCCCTGTGGTAGAGCACACCTTTTAGCAAGTTCTTGGGCCAGACTCTGGGACACAGATACCTGGTGTCCTCCTTTGGCCCAGCCCAGCCAAGATGCCACAACTGGAGGCTCAGGGTGACAACTGCCTCCCTAGGCACGTTGCCCAGACTACCTAGCCCTGCCCCCATGCGATAATTCCAGCTGTCTGGGCCAGAGCAACTTGCCCTGCTCCCTACCTAAGTGGTGACTCTGGGCAGTTCCGATTAACTCCTGGGACTGATTCCTTCTTGAACGTAACCTGCCCTGAGACCCAGCTGGGAGTGACCTGAAGGGTAAGTGAAGAGATTTGGGGTTGCTTTGGGTCACACCTACACCCAGCATCAGGGGTGTGGGTGAGTGCAGAGAGGCAGAGCTGAGGGTGAGCGCTACCATCCAGCTGGCAGCCCAGTTCCAGCCCTGTGGGCCATGGAGACCAGGACAGCCCCTGGCCCTTCAACGCCTGTTTCTGCTGTGGCCAGTTAGGGGCTCTGAGGGACCTTGCGCTTCTTGGAGCGAGCCAAGACGGGATGAACACACAGAATCCTGGCGCAGCAGAGGGGCCTCCACCACCACCAGGTCGGAGGACTGGTGCAATGAACACCAGATCGTCTGCCCAGACCATCGGCACTGAGCTGCGTCTGCATCACCCCACGTGGCTACACTTTTCCCCAAGCTGCTTGAAAGGAAGCTCACATGCATGTGACATTTCACCCCAAATACTTCAGCTCCAAAATCAAGGACATTCCTGCACAACCGCAGTACAATTATCACCCTCAAATTTAATAAAGGAATGTTCCAGGGAGGACCTCCCATAGTCCAGCCACCAAGCAGTGTCCTTTATGGTTTTTTCCTTTTATCCAACCAGGGTCCAATTAAGGATCCTTCACTGCTCTCTGTTACCATGTCTTGAAATCAACAAGTTGCCCCTCTTTTTTTTTGTCTTTATAACTGATTTTTTTAAGTACTCAAGCTTCTTATAGAATGTTACATAATTTGGATTTACCTGTTTTCCCCTGACTAGATTCAGATTAAACAGATTTGACAAGAATATGACTTACGTGACATCCCATCTCCTTGTACCCTGTTCCATTAGGAAACACTTGTCACTTCAGGGAGAGTCTTAACAGCTTCCCAGAGAAGCTGGGAATGCGTGCTCGGCCTGTTGCCGAAACCAGTCCTTAAGGAAACATAGAGGACCTAGGTTAGAGACAAACAGGAAGTCACTCCTGCCCCGCAAGACTGCAAGATGACCAGTATGAGCAGCCCTGGATCCCTGTGAGCCCTACGCAGGACAGCAGATCTAAGCACAGGAATGC